GTGGACGGAACAGCCGAAAGTCATCACGAAGTACCAAAGCACGAAGCACCAGCTCACCTGCCTTCAAAGATGCCAGGACTTAGAACGTGTTCCTTTGGGTGCGCAGGCTGGACTGTTGTTGACCAGCGAAACAGCGTGTTCGACAGAGCCTCGCAGATTTGATGCGCAGTGCTATATTCATCAATATTCATGTAACATTCTTGGTACTGAATTTCTGCATCTGAAAAGCTTCTGAAGGGACCCCAGACGGACATTTGTTTGAAGCAAGTTGATTCCACAACTCTTTGCTGCTCTTCCCTCGTGACACTTTGGTCATGAACTTGTCAGGACTGAGGTCGGTCCGTTGCAAATAAAGACATTCAAACAGCCAGCACCCAGCTCGTTTTTCTTCTGTCGACCCCCCCTGATCATGTATATTCCATCTAATCTAATCACCATGCTTTGGGTGTTGGAGAAGTTTGCGTCGCTTCTTTGCGCAAGTGCCAAGCCATTTGGACTCGGAGCAACGGATTTCTTCATGCCATGTCTTGCAGGCCCCTCTGAGTGACAATGCACCGCCAAAGGGTCCCACAAGGCACTGCAAGATGGGTATGGGACGCCAGGGAACTGGGAATTGCTTCAAACTTCAAAGATTCTGGAACAAGTCTTGCTGCATCTTGCTGCTTTTTTGAGTGGTATACCTGGTAGCTGGACTCCAGCTGGACTGTTTGCTAGCCTTCACGTCTTGTTGCAATTGATTGCGAAGATCCAGTAAATTTAATGCCTTGAAGTCCCTGCTGGTTTGCAGATGGTGTCTGCTGGGATCAGGACCAATGGATTCGCACATGGTTGGAATGTCATGGGTCGTGATTTGGTTCCCTCTCCTGGCACCAGAGGCAAGCAGGTAACAGTCTAGGTGGATGATGGAACAATTTGAAGGCTAGAATGTATCAAGGGACCTTTGCTTTCCCTTTCCGTGTCCATACATTCCCAAGTGATTTTCTGCAGACTGGAGTCTAAGAGGGCATGACATGATTCTTGCATGCTTCCGACTGCTAGAGGTTCATTTGAACAAGACTCGGGTTCAGCATCAGTCACCAACACTGCCATCGGCCGACCCATCCTGATCAATCAGAAATCACGTGGGACTGTCCAGTTCATCTCTGTTTGCTGGTGGATCTTGGGAGGATGCTCAAAGCCTCTCAGAGACTCTAGACCCAGAACATCCCAGAACAACGAAAGTCTTAAGCCATCCGAGCTCCTTTTCCCTCTCCCTTCTGCTGCATCCGGTGCGCGAAGCACACTGCCTGCCTGCCACCAAGCCACTGATGCCGGCTGCTCCAGGTTTTTTCGAAGCGATGGGCCTGGGGACTGAGCGAACATGCGGTTGATCCGGGTGGATATGCACTGCTGGGACCAGAGCTCGTCGGACATGTTTCTTGAGCACCAGTGGCTTGAGCACCAGCCAATTGGCGATCCAACGATTAGACAGGCAGAGTTACTGGGGCTCATGCCCAACTTTAATGGGTATGCCGCATATGCCTCTAGCGCATGGAGCAAACATTGGGGAATCATCAGTGCTGAGGATTCTGCTTAGCAAGAGTGTGATGAACTCTTCAGGCCGTTATTTTGCATATCTTAGAGGGCCAGACTATTTGAGCTGCTCGGATTCACACAGCTTGGCTCAAACCATTCCAGCTTCTCTTGTCACAAGCCTAGGGAGCACAGAGGAGTGGAATCAACAAGAGTTCAAGATCCCAAAGAAACCTCCCCATCCAACAAAAAGCTCCTTCTTCGACTCTTCAGCCACGTCCGCGGAGAACCTGAGGCCGGTGGATGCCAAGATGGATGAAGAGGCTGAGCAGGCCGGTGTTAAACCATGCATAGTGCTTGGTGGAGGGGCTGAAGAGTTTGGGAGAAAAATCAGCTACTTGGCATGGTTTAGGTCCCATTCTCGCAGCTGCCAAAGCATCGAACACTTGAAGACTTGAAGGTCGTGAAAAGGAGCAGTGGTTCAATGTGGCCCAAAGCTCAAAGGACCTGTGGCCCTCATCACTCGAATCCGAAAAGCCTTGGCCCAAAGCTTGGCCCGTGAGCGTTGACTCGTGACAGGGGTCTCTGGGAACTCCAGACGGGTCTTGTCAGGCCGAAGAGGAGTTGGAAGGAGATCTCGAAGTCACCGAAAAGGATTTGATTCTTGGCTAAAGGGGGCCCCGGCTTTTCTTTTCTACTGGCTCGGCCATTTTTCTCCGCCATCATAGAAATTTCAAGCTCTCCAGAAGGCTCCCGAGCAAGGTTGGAGGTGATCTGGCAATCCTGGGGGTCCTTGGGGGGGGTGTCGAACTGCTTTGTGAGATGAAAGCAGTTTGTTTCAGAACGGAAGGGTGGTTGTATCCTCCGGGACTTGTCGTAGATGGGCCGACTAAGGAAAGGCATCGAGCAAAATGCGGTGGAGGATGATTCTCAAGTTTCTTAAGGTGAGGCCCTGAAGGGTTGAACCATGTTGAACCAAAATGTTTGTTTGTCTGACATGGGCAAAAAGGCAAATCCTAGTACTGGTTTGCTAGTGTTCTACCATTCGCTTCTTCCACTTCGCAAGGTTCCTGACACATCCATATCTATGCCTGTGCTTAATCGCTACAGTGTAACTTCCACTAAGTGTGTATATGATAGACTGATAGACGCAAATAGATGGTGTCACCCATGCAGATCCCACTTTCTGCTTGGTATGACCAGCCCGATCTTCAGCAACCCTCACAAAATAGACAAATGATGACATGTGGGAGGTGCTAGTCTTTCTATTTATATACGTTCAGTCTTGAGTAGATGGAACATTAGCGGTTCCAATCACCAAGTTGGACATCATTCTGTCTTTGTGGTTCAAGTTCTATCACTGTTATTTTTGCTTGAAAACAGTGATCACAAAGACGCGTCGGGCAAGACAGATTTGGGCCCATGTTCCCTTCATGTTCCCATCAGATTCGGGTGCCATTCTGGGACATCCGAAGACAGTCTTGCGGCGCCTGCTTGTGGAGGAGGTGGTGGTGCCAAAGCTGCACGCCTTCAGGAAAAATGGAGCCTTTTTCAGAGACTGAAGAGGGGTCCTTTCTCTTTGACTGAAGGGTGATGACCTCAAGAATCCTGTTGGATGGTATTGATAGGTGGTCTATTCACAGTGATAAGCCAGAACTTCATCTGAGTGGATTCGGCGGAAGTGCTCAACATCCTGACATCCGGATATTATATTTGGTGAACACTCCGATGCCGTGAGTTACGGAAGACACCAAAAGTGCCTACCTGGCCGTCAGGCACTGTTGGGACTTGATGACTTTGTGCCCCTGTGAGGCTCCGGCTGATGCAAGGTAGTTGGGCACAGCTCTGAAAAGACAAACGTGCAACAGCCCAGGTGGGACAAGAACGTTTAGGTGTTCAGAGCCAGGTTTGGAAGCTTTTTTTCCAGCTTCCAAGTTGAGTGATTTGGAATCACAGTCTCTAGAAATGATAGATCCTAGGGATGCCCCCGTGCATTGGAAGTTTGAACCTCGCTGCCGAACCATCTACGGAAAAGACCAGCACGTACAAACACAGAACACTCCTTCAACATTCCCCACTACAGATCAAACCTAAGGTTTGATGCTTCCTTTGGGTACTACAAGGTCTCTAAACATGCGGCATCCGCATGTTTTCGAACATCTGAACCATTTGCAGAAGATGAAAACTCATGAAACATCAAGCTGCGACATCCACATCTGCAGAACTGAACCATTCGCAGAAGATGAAAAAATCGGTGTCACTCCGTGAGCCAAGTGAGCCGCCGCAGCGCTGCGTGCGAGCCATGGAAGAGGCGAAGCTGTTGGAACGCCTGGAGGTGCGATGAAGCCTGGCTGGTTGGAGAGACACGTGGACTGGTGAAGTTCTGGTTGGACACTCCATGAAATAGTGGAATACTGGAATCATTGGACCATTTACGTGGAGGGAGTGAGTGAGTGAGTGAGTGAGTGAGTGAGTGAGTGAACACCACCTGTTCGCTCTTCGGATTTCATCCCATATGTACCTCTTTCAAACAGTTTTGGGACTGTCGGACAGGTTTGTTCCTTCTTTTGTTGGTGCCGAAGCCCTGGTTGCTTTGGCGATTGCCTTGAAATTACGCCATTGATCCTGGAGTCACTGTGACTTGATTTTAATTTCTTGCCTTTGGAAGCCTGTGCATCCGCGCTCTTGAGGCGCTGCTGCTTGAGGATCCCTCGACTGGATATCGCAAGCTGCATGACAAGTTGAAAGGCCAGAGTGGTTGGCTAGGTCCAACGATCTTTCTCATCTCAGGATTTGGCTGAGTTTATTGAATCGGAGGATGGAAGTGGCTGAACCGAAGGAATATTGACATCAGCCATCACCTAAAGAGCTTCCACCGGGTGTGGAGCGGAGCAGATCATGTCAATCTCTTCTGAACATGCTTTTGGCTCAAGCTGCCTGTGGCAGTATTTAGCCTATGATGCATTCCAAACCACAAGAAAAGCCCTGGTAGCACGCGTTGCACCTTGGGAAAGAACCTGATGCGACCTGAGTTGCACTGGGAGTCTGTGGAGGTTGCTGGGCGAGTCGTGCACAAAGAGCAGCTGATCGAGGGAGTCATTGTGTTTGGATTCGGACTTCAGCTTGTATTGTTCCTCTGCTGGATTGTTTACGTTTGCATTTATGTGGCCGTAATGCAATCTCGGGACCCAGGGTATCGGGCTGACCTCGTCGAGAAACATGCTCCTGAAGTGCGTGGTCATATCCTTTTTGAGCAGGGCCTCACATTTGGCCGTTTGGCGACCTTTGCATGGCGTTTTGGGCGAGCAGTCTCCAACCTTGGTTTCCTGATCTACAACATGGCAACCCTGGGAAGCAAAGATGAGGACAAACCATGGAAGTTGGAGCGGCACATACTGATTCGATGCTAAGGGGTCATTGCAGGATTGTTGCTCTTTGCGCTTCTATTTTACTTGATTGTTGCGTGTTGCATTCCTCATCCCAATTACATGGCAGCTTTCTCCCACTACTTGACCCGGTCAGCCAACTTTTCAGCCCTCAAGTCTTTGCCCTTGGTGAACCCAGTGACCGCATGGGAGACGGTCAACGATACTCACAGAAGGTTCAGCAAGACTCCAGGTAGTGCGTTCTGCCTTGTGTGGACCATCGTAAACGTTGTGTTTTGTCTCATTCCCTTGGCCTTGATGGCAGTACTGGTGAAGGTGTCGCAATTGCACTTCGTCACAAATGGCACACCGTGGACACTCCAGGACTACTGGACATTTGTGTTCTTCATCAATGCCATGGCAGGGCTCCGAGGAGACATTGAGACAGAGCGGTTGAAGCTTCTCTTCGATGGGCAGCAGGAACATTATAATTTTAAGGCCAAGGTGGCGGAGCGTTTGGTTTACCATTGTGACTATGGCTTCTGGACAGGGTTTGTGCTGTTTGTCACCATGTCTTCGGCGGAGTTTGCACAGATGCGCGGCAGCTGACCCGACCTTTGGATCTCCACAACTGTGTCAAAAGAAGGACCTTCATGCCGCCATATGCCTGCAGTGAAGCAGACTCTGGTCCAAGCTGAGGGGGATTTGTTTGGAACACTTCCCACACAAGAAAGCCTAGTGCCCAAATTTTGCTACAATTCAACCATCATGGGACGAGTCAGTTTGGCAACTCCTATTAGATCTATTGGATGATCACCATCCTCATTAATATTATCCCACCAATGGATTTCGGTTTTCCTTTCAGAGGGCTCTCGGATTGAAACAGCTGGGGTCACTTTACCCACGTTTGCAATCAGTCGAACCTGTTGGAACTTGCATCACTGGTGGTGTGCCAGGAGTTCGAATGAACCCCCCAAGTGAACTCCACAGAGCTCGCGAGTCGACAGTTCGACCAATTCGACCCGACTTTGTCAGGCGAAGAGGACTTTAAAGAAGTCAGCCTCAAGAAGGCTGGACTTTTAAAGCAGTTGGAGTCCCTGATAATCAGCTGGTGATCATAGCTGCGTGACATGTGGCACTCAGGGTGGGATCCGGTGAACAGTGTTCCGGTGTTCCCGTGCTCATCCTTTTTCTGAGTGATGCCACTCCTGTTGTGAAAGCATAGAAGAGAAGCCTTGTAGGATGTTTTTGCTATGCCTTGTGTAACCTTTCCATCATTCTACAACATAGAGAGCTGGGGAGTGAACCAACAACTTAGCCCTCCAGTTGTAAGCCTTACTGTAATCCCAACTGAAACCAAGTGTGACGGGAGAGTGAACAGGTTATCCAGCTGTAGTACCCTCGGGTGGCTTTGTATGGCCGCGTCCTGTTTGGATTTTGCTCACAGGCCTTGAATCTCGAACGAAAACCCGCTTCCTTTCCAAAGGGACCATTGTGCCACTGCATGTTCGTTGCTTTTCGTTTTAAGAACCGGCATCACTTGCTTCCAACGTCATTGATCATTATCGAACAACCATGAGGTGCAAACCGCCTTGCAGAAGTTGAGGACTGCTATGTCCCGAAGCTTTGAATTGAAGTTAAAACAAGAATTATCAGGCTCCTCAAACCTGAGTGTTGAAAGGGCTGGGCATTGGTAGGAGAGTTTGTGTGAACAATCTCCAAGAGCATTCCACGGATTAGTAGTTAATGTATTGTGTTTTTGGAAGGGTGCCCCCATGGGACTGTTTGGAGGCAAACCCAGATCTTCTCAGCGCCCTTTGGCTTTGCATGGCCGAGTTCTGTGCGTGGGGATGATGAATTGCGTCACCCATGGAAGATGTTGCCACGAGCTTGACATCCGACATGTTGTTCGTTGACATGGGTATAGTAGTAATCCTTCCGCAACGCTTCACCGGGTTTTGTTGAATCAAGACATCCTACACTCCTCCACTGAAGTTAATATCGGTGTTCCAGGTGGTGCAGGCTTGGTTCTCTCAACAAGAGAGTTCCTCTTTATGTTCCTATGGACCATCGACCTTGATGGTGACAGGGGCAATCAGTCATTGGATTGACGCCTTGGCACTGCTGAAAAGGAGCTTGGAATCCAGCAAAGGTCCTTTGCTTTACAGTGCCTCGTCGGCAGATTGCTCTTAGATTCTGCCACAAATAAGACTAAATAAACATAGCCCCTGTTTTTTGGGAGGTTGAAACTGATTTTCCTGGCATATCCTGCCCAAATTTCTGATGTTCTGCGAAATTAGAACAGCCAACTGAAATTTGCATTGACTCCTTAATTAGAGATGCATCAATTGGATCTCTTCGCATACTCTTCTTCACTCCATAGCGCCATAGGGATGTTGCGGGCCTTAATTTGGCAGCGGATGTATGCAAGCCCCCACCTAGTCCGAAATGGATAGATGATGATAGATGAGTGTTGATGAAACACGCATCCCACCGAAAATCAAGTGCCGCCGCACGACTGCCATTGCCATCCAAAATGTCCATCTGAGACCCGCAGAGACCGACCACAAACTCTCAATGTCCATCAGAATGGACATGCATACTTACATAGTATTACATATAGTCACTATTGATAAACTCACTATGTCACATAGTGACATGAGCTCATGCATCGTCACATAGTCTTCAACAATACTTGGCATTTGAGCTCACCCCACCACCAAACGGCCCAAACGGCACTCCCTCTTTCGCCACCGGCCCAAACGGCCTCGGTCCGTTGGTCCCAGGCGTTTCAGACGATGGGACCCTGCGAGAATGGTCCAGTAGCGGCGAGCTACTGCGGAGCTTCAACACCGCGGAGGGCGCTCAATGCGTCCAAGCCCAGCACTCGGGGAAGAAACCTCCATGGTTCGGGAGGGGGGAAGCGTGGTTTTCAGGACGTTTCGGGGGGGGAGAGTTGTCGTTGTTTTTTTTCGTGTTCCATTGGGGGGAGTGTCCGAGTTCATGGAGAAGGTTCCCATGTCTGGCACGAATCGCTTGAGAAAGAACATTCTGTAGGTGATGGGTCTTTGTTCTCATGGCATTTTGGCACGTAGCAAAGGGGAGTGGCAGACCAAGTTCCAGAAGCTAGAACGGAAATGATGTGAAGCAAGAACATGAAGCAAATGAGGACTCTGCAGATTGTCGCAATAGATCGTTGTTCCACTAAGCTTTGGCGCGGCCAAAACTAGTGAATCTACGGGCTATTGAGGATTCTATAAAGGACAGCAAAAGCTGACCATTTCATGTATCACTGGCGTTCGATCGGTCCAGAAGTTTCTGACTACACTTGTCTCAATGGTCCAACAGTTAACAGCTAATAGTCACTAGCCTGGGATGCGATGAGTCTAGAACACCAAGAGCTTCCTCTTTCTTCGCAGAATTCATCAAGCTGCTAATGATTGGGATTCTAAGTGCATCGATTTTAGAGGTTCATAGTATATACTATATATAGTTTCATATATTGAGCATGGATCCTTTACAACCCAGCCTGGCTGCCTGGCTATATGTGCGAGGTCACCGATGACTTCATCATAGCTGGAGATAGCTCAGGTTGGGCAACCTGCCAGCCTCTGACAGTTGACAGATCAGAAGCTCAGGCTGTACTAAACACATCCTATCACCCCACCTATCAGAAGGCAAACGGCTTCAACAAGATGCTAGATCAAGCATTCCTTGCCAAGAATCCCCTGACCACCAGGCAGCAGTGTGCACCTTGCAAAGTCCAAGTTCTGGAGTCAAGGTCATATTTAACCAACCCATACCAACCCTATGCCCTCTCCTGGAGCATCTCCATTTCTGGCTTGTACCCTCCTTGGCCACTTGGGATCATCGCCTGTCCTTCTCGTCCCATCAGTACATCTCAAGATCAAGCGACGCGTGCGACGCGTCACGAACTTCTGCAAAGACGTCAGTGTTCCACGTTTCTCCGAGCAATGTCCTGCCTGGAGATGTTGAACACGAGGAGAATCACTCAAAGCGACCTTTTCTGTGGGTCTGAGCCAGAGATGTGGGAAGATCTCAGGCGTTCGCTTGATTTGAACAACGGAGTATCACATCACATAGCTTTTGAGCCTCTAGGGTATCAAAATGCTTCAACGGAGAGAATTCAGGACGTGATGAAATCTCAAAGCCGGGGTCATCCATGTGTCCACCTGGTCAAACCACTTCGCATATGTTTTCCACCCGTCACCACGCTCTGGGCGAGGCTTGATGCGGCTTTGGTCACGGTCCTCAGGAGAAATCTTCAAGGATGTCAAGGCGATCGACACCTTTAAGGGAGCGATGACCCGGCCGACCTTCATTGTCTTTTCATTCTTTCGAAACACCAAATGTAAGCCTCTTCTCAGGGATACATTGAGATTATGGGTTCAATACATATATATATATATTGGCTTGGTTAATGTCAAACTAGAGGAATGGTCTTCCGAAGCAATTGGTTGTCCTTCAACCGTCTCTCCTATGAGAGTGAGCCCAGGAGTTCCCTGTGGCCAGCAATACCAGCAATACCTTGGAAAGTTTCAGCCACAGAAGTGCCCTCCGCTTTCCTTTTTTGAGTCTGAAGGCTGCGACAGTCACGAGCAAAGTGTTTGTGCATCAGACATGCTCAGAAGCCAAAGGTTTGCTCACCTTCATAAGCATGAACACTGGTAGATAGAGGAAAATCCTCCCACCAGGTCATATATCACTGCTGATGCAAGTGACAAACACTGGGTTGCGAATTCAGGGAATTCTCAAAGTTTTTATCTGGGAATACTCCCATTGATTGCAATATATTGTAATTAGTCTATTTTTCCTTTGTAGGTGGGCTTTCTTTTAGAACCAACACCGTTTTTTTGCTGGGAAAATGAAGGGCGAGGATGTTCTAGAGACGTATTCCATCCTAGGCAGACGTATCCCACAGGATCCGGTCTGGACGTCGCTAGCCTCGCCCAGTCTGGAGGTCGCCACCAGATATGTCAAGTCTCTACTGCTTTGTGGTGAGTATGTCTTTACAGGCGACTATGGTGGCTTGGCGCAGCAACCGGGGAAAGTGAGCAACTGAAAGCTTTCACCGAAGCTGATCTGGGGTTGTTCGGTAAATGGTGGACCTGTCCCTTGCGGCACAATTCTTGCGTGTGGATTCAGGCTTACCAGGAGTTTGGTTCCTAACTATATCAACCACAACCATCCACAGCTAGAAAAGATGGGACACCAATGCATGGATGCCCCATGAGTTGAGAGTTGAGAGTCGAATCTCCACAGTTATGCAACTATAATGATGACACACAAGCAAACTTGTGAGGGGACCCCGGGGCAAGACTCGCTTGCACCCGGGGGCGCTTCTACTTGGCTGAAAAGATCGCAGTGTTTTTCTGTGTCACGGTCCTTCTTGGAGCTTCCAGCGTTGAACATCATAGAGTGCAACGCTGGAGGCCCTTGGAGCACCTGAAAGTGAGGGGCAGGTGTCCAGAACCGGTGGCGCTATGGCTATGATCCAGACACTGGAGTCATATATTCAAGATCTTGGATTCCGTAATCTCTCCATGTGAGGATAGGTCCAATTTCTGGGATGAACATCCAAGCAATCGGGGCGAGAGAGTGAGAGTGGTCACTATGTTGCTTGGAATTCGAGGGGTCAGGTCTCGGTGTTGACCTATTTGCCATGTTTGGCATGGCTTCAGTTTGGACATCCTTGATTTTTGGAGACGCCTCGGCCAAACCAAGCCATTGGTGAACCAAATCGGTTTGGCATGCCAAACTGAAGCCACTTTGGAATGGGACCTCGTGGGTTTTGGAGACTGAGGCAACTTGGTTCAGCAGTGGCACTTGGCCACTGGAGAGTTGAAGGCCGGACGGACAGGTCTGGGAGCGCCACGCTCCAGTGGTCGTGTCTCAACTTTTCTCGTGTCGCAGATGGAAGGTTTACAGCAGTTGTCTTCCTCTATATAACTCATCCCCTTTGTCAACTCAATCAGTCACCCGCCAAAACCGTGGGGGAAGTTTCACTTTCTCATTCCCAAAGCTTTTCTCCCCCAACACTGATGGTACAATGCTCTGCACGGTCCTGGCCAGGCTCAGTTTAGAGGCCACAAAGCTGGGGTCATTTGCTTAGCTTTACAAGGCCCAGGGCGCGAAAAGGGCGGGGTGAGTGGTGCATCCATGCTCAATACGGTAGACATTTGGCTTGATCGAGTTGGTGTGTGAGATAAGAGATGATATAGGGAACTGAACATACCCTCATGCTTCAGATCATGACTTGCCCATGTCACACGCAATTGTATGTCAGAGGCTTATAGTGGTCCCCCAATAAGATAGAATTCTTAGTGGATCTACTGTTCAAGACGTCGAGATTTTATGAGATTTTCCTATCTCTTTGGGGTACCGGACTGATGGGATGATGGGCCCCGGTCGGTGCCGAACGCGCGCCGCGGCACTCGGGGGCGGTTCAACCGCCAGGAGATCACCTGGTGGCCGGTGGTGGCGATGGCCGAGTCTTGCTCTTCGACCGTTCCAAGGCGACGCCGAACGAGGAGGGCCTGGCGGTCTCGGAGGCGGTGGCCTGGCTGAAGTGGGGAGGAGGGACTGGATGGGGAGGGTTTGCAGGATGGAGACCTGTGTTTGAGATCTCAGGGTGGGTGGTGAAAGTCTCTTTGGTCACGGGTAGTCCTTGCTTGAGCAACCCGAGATCAGGTTCTTTTTTTGGACGAAGCAGAGCCCTCGAGGGCTCTGTAGGAAGGCCGCAAAGGTGAAGAAACAGCAACGGGGCGATCGATGGACCCTTTGGAAGAGTGTGTTTGTTTGTGAGGAATCCGCAGATGGCCACAAATTGGAGTGTATGGAGATGCCACCCACATTTTTACTGCTTGTCCATGACCACAGGGTGTGTGCTTGTTCTTCGTGATTTCAATTTGATTGCATGAGCCTGGTGTCCACTTCATTGTGACTCAAGACTCATCATCTGTCTCTGGACAGAACATCAACCAAGGTGGAGTGCATCTACAAGGCCGGCAGAGCCGAGTGTCTCACTCCGGTGACCCAAAGTGACACATTGAAGTCGAAAGCAAACAGATTCCAGTCCCAGCCGCAACACCCTAGCCCATCCCGACCCAAGCTACCTTTCCGTTTGTAAAACCATGGATCCCGACCCTACCAGCATCCCGTGCTTGGCCGTTTCGGCAACGTCATTGCCCACCGGCCGGTGAAAAAAACGGAAGGCCCGTCCGAGATCGGAGGCCCAAGGCTTTGTTTGCAGCCTGGAGATCTGTGAGGACCGACTCCTAGTCCCAGACCGCGACGAGGACAAGGTGGCCTGCCCAGCTGTCGTGTGGTGACCGGACCTGGACCCGAAAACACTCCGGGGACACGGGGACGGGCCGGGGTGACGGGTGCTGCACCAGTGAGCAGGAAAAGATGGGCTCGTGCCGGGGTGCATCGTGGCGGTAGAATGGCAACTGTGATAGATTATGTCGTCCTTTGGCCTCGATGATTTGGCTGGAAAAGATGGGCTTCCCTGAAGAGTCACTCGCATCCTCCCCTCATGCGCAGGTCAATGTGCTTCAACGAGCTTGTTCCAATACCCTTCGATTCAGTGGTGATTCTCTTTCAGTGTCTGGAATTTCTCGGAGCATCCCTTGAACTTGGGCGACGAAGCTTTTTTGCAAATCCACATGAGTTTTCCCTTGTATAGAACCTACTTTGCGAGGATCCGTGGTTTCTTTAGTTCTTTTAGTGTGAGACCTGCCTTTGAATTGAATCTCTGGCCTGCACCTGCTTCCACGACCATAACCCACATTTTGCATTCATGGCAGCAAGTCAGGTGCCATTTTTGGCTGAACTAAGAAAGCAACTCAAGAACTACATAGCCCAAGAGGCAACTCTTCCCCAACTCTTCTCGAATGTAACCTCTTCCTCTTTCAACACGTGGTCTAATGAGTCTAATGCTTTGCAACTGCATGCTGCTATCAGATTCAAAGACGACGTAGCTATACTGATACTGGAATTTAACTGGACATGAGGTGTTTTACTGGAGGATGTCTCCGCCCAACCTGGCCTTTTTTATACCCGCAGGCGTCCCCAACAGATGCTAACGACCTAGCCAGCACCCCCCAAAATCAATGTGCCTGAGCGGAATCATAAGTCATATCTTTCAACTAAAAGCGCACTTTTACAACTCTCCTGCTGAAAGCAATGGCAGCGAACATTCGCCAGACTCCACCTTACACGGCAGACACCAACATACACCTAAACCTTCAAAATAACACCATCCATGAGCTTTTCTATATCTGGGGCTGTCACTAGTATATTAGAGCTTTCGTTTATCACGTTTTGTTTCTTTCCTTGTTGGGTGACCGTTTCTTGCTAGGTTGCCAGCATCCGACTCTTCTCCAACACGGGCGAGTTGGTGCCCGACAACATCCGCGATGTGAGGAGTGGATGCTGGGAGATGAGCGAAGATCCAATCAGACAGAACCGGCATCCGTTCGCTCCACTGGAGGTGTTTTTCACGTTCACCGAAGGATCCGAAGGGGGCATCAGATCAACTCGGTTCTTCTCCAGGTAGTCTTGACTGGACACATCAAGCAGTCAAGCCCAGACTCGAACACCCCAAGTGACTAGCCAGGACCTACAAGTGCTCCAAGCCTGTGGTGCAAGCCACAACTGCTGGGAAAGACATTGTCCTAGCTCTTTGTCGCGACTTCACAGTGTCTTGGCACCAGATTGCCGGAAGACAGGTACTCTCAACTGGAAGAGGAAGATTGTCTCAATCTGTTCTAAGAGGTGTGACCCATGTCATGTTGTTCCTTTTCTGGGGATGCAAATTTGTGAATCAGATCATGAAGTAGATGTTTCCAGATGATCTCCTTTCAACCTTCAAGTGTCCCAAGAGGTTTGCAGTTTGGAGCATTAAATATGTATGGCGTAAAATGCGACAAAACAATTTATGGCTTACTGAAACACATGCATGAGAGTTACACCATCTATTGGACACCCTAGTGACCTTTGTTATGTGATCGGCTGGCTTTGTGTCGGGCATTAGCAGCAGCAGCCCAGTGTAGTGTGCGCGTTGAAAGACCGTCTTATGAAGATCTTTTTGTGGTGCCCCAGTGCAGTGCTAAATGCGCCATGCGCGGTGTGTACACCCAAAGACTCCAGCAGCAGTGTGAAGTAGCTGGGCCTACCGGGCTGACAGCACCACCGTGACCGTAGTCACCGTCTCGCACTTGAGGTGAAGAAGTTTGCAGCTGGTTCACGGCAGCTGTTGATGAGCATCAAAGTCACCCCAACGGCCGAGGACTCGAAGAAATGGCCGTTTCACGGCCGAGTCTGAGATATGGAACGACCTGCAACCGTTTGATGGGTGAAACGACATGAAACTGGATGACTGCGACATACGCTTGGTGGAAGGATGTGAAAGCATCATTCAGCCCGGGCTTTCGTTTTTTCTTCAAACTGGCCGGGCCATGCACCTTTCTCGCAGGACGCCAAAACCCCGTATGTCTTTAAAGTTGAAGGCGACAGGTGGGGCCTTGACATGGAAAGCGGGGCTGAAGACAGTTGGGCTGAGCTGTTTTGCAAAGGGTCAAGCAACAACAAGCAACATCGACTAGACCTACATACTTGCTTACTTGCTATACATGCCCATATTTGCCCATGATCTGAAGCAGTCCTCGTGAAGCTTCATTGCTCGCGTCGCTCAATCTTTTGTGCGACCCAGTATCAATATCAGATATAATATAAGATACTTTTGAGCCCATCCCACCATGCTGGCTCAGGCTCTATGTGGGCTATTTGAACCATGGCAACTTGGTTTCTTGATAAGTGTCCATTGCAAGTTTTGCATGTGCACCACAGAAGAAGACCAAAACAAATCTTACAACACCCATTTGGGCTGGCCAGGTGCATTGGAAAGATAGATTTTCTTGGCCCCCTTGCTGGTCTGAGAGTCATCCCTGCGAAGTCTTGTGTTGAAAAGAAGATCCCCAGGATGCATTTAGCTTTTGTGCTGGATTCGCGAGCCACATGGGGCAGCCACATGATGTATGTCAAAGCTAGATGGCGAGACAATTGATGCCCAGAGTTATGGATGGTACTCACTTTCACTGGTATGTGCCCGAGATCTTTCCCTTTTCCTTTCTGCAGTTTTCTGTTCCAGTTGGTTCTATATGTCATTGAACATGTAACCCACTTATCATACAGACATGTGGCTTTTCAGAGTAACCTCGAACAACCTCCCTGTATCACAAGGAAAACCGCTCCAGAGGGCGATATCCTCAAATGTACAGGCCCTGCCTGACCTCAACAAGGGGGGAATTCTGCGGCCAGATCACTTTTAATTCTGAACGTGCTGCTGGCATACCGATGACAGGCCGAAGGTTTCCCCCAAGCAGGGGATATTTTGAAGGACTACATTAAGAACTTTTCCGGCTCCGCTCAACAGTCCACCTTGAATCTAGGGATATTGTGGAACATAGACCTCTCGGCTTTAAACTAGTAGTAACAAGAAGCTATTAGTAACAAGTGCCACGCTAGTAGTAACAAGTGCCTTACTAGTAGTAACAAGAAGTCATTCCGTTTCTCTCTCGGCTTTAAGGTGCTTTTTTGAACTTTCTTCCGGCTTTCCACCACACGCTGGCCACCAAAGTGGGTTGTGGCCAAGCACTCTCCCTGTCTCCCTGTGGCCTGGGTCAGGTGAGATTGCTGCCTTCTCACTTCAAGATGGAAAACGGCAAGCCGCCAAAGGCTTCCTTGGACACAGAGGCCGCGACCTGTCTGACCACCGGAAAACGCTTGGACATGGGAGCATAGACACCTGGTTTGCACGGTGGGTTGAATGTGCACGGTTTACAAGTTCCTCGTCGCCGGCCATTGGTTGACTGTGCAGTCATTTTTAGGGCATTTTAGGGTCAGCTTTTTGAATCTCCCTGGTCTTTCTCAGTGCGCGCTCGTGGCATACATGTGGGAAATAGACCTTGGGATCTTGAAATGCCCTGCAAGTGTACCTATGGACTCCATCAGATTTTCCTGTTTGTTTCACCATCCAACCACTATGTTTACTCCATTATTGTTTAAACCAGAGCATTATCCTAAGACCCTGTGAGACCCTATCAGAGCTAGTTGTGATGAAACTCTGAAGTCATCGCTTTCATTGGCCGAGTTCCTGCCACTCAAGTGCATTCATTGACGTTTGTGCCCGGCTTTGCGGAGTGCTCTATGGCTGTTGGTGCGCCGAATCAAAGGCAAAACGGTGATATTATGTGATAAGCGTTTGGCCATGTTTGGCCAGGAAACGAGATAGATCAATCACCCTGCATGGAGACCCATGGTGGTGGCCAGGCTCCGTCAATGGCTTCTGTAGCGGCTAGGCCGAGGCGGGCAGGGTGGACCTGCTTCGACCCGAAAGACGACAACGGGTGGACCTGCTTGAGTCTGCATTTCCACCCTTGAAACCTGGAGAGACCCAATCTTTGGAAGATACATGAAGATACATGGGACATCGTGGGTCCACCATCAACAGGACGTCGTGCCACTTTCCCTGTCCGCAAGCATGCTCAGCCTCCGTTCCAGGCGTCCTTTGATTTCCGCGTCGTGCTGTAAGTCGGGCAATTCTCCTGGAAAAACGGCGTGCAAATCTCCTGGGGCAGAAGGATTGGAAGATATCTAAATGGACAGTTTGTGCGATCGACTAGCTGGTGCTCAGGGAGATAAGGAGCTGGGGGTATCCAGTCCTTCCCCATTAAACAGGGAGCCAAACTCGGAGCGATGCCGGGAGTTCCCCAATCCCGAGAGCTCGTCAAATGCTTTGATTTTCCCAACTTTGATCTGTTTCTTTTCTGATCAAGTATATTTCCCCCAGCTCAAGTATACTCATGTCTCCAGGTGTGAGTGCTTGAGTAGCATGCGAGTTCCAAACTTTCACGAGCACGTCTTGACTTGATCTACACAGCAGCGGATTCTTCTGATACCATCGTGCGCAGCTGATTCGGCTTATCACAGCAACAAGATACAAGACGTGAGGTGTGAACATGACCTTCGAGCTGGTCGAGATCTTTTGTTGGACTAGGTATGACTAGGTATTTATCTCATCATATTCACATATTTTCACACTAATTAATTCGTGTACTAGACACTTGTCTCCGACAGCAGACAGAAGCACGTATTGCCTCTGAAACTTGCACGTCGCAAGCTGGAGTAAGGGATTTCACCAATCCATCGACTCCCTAAACGGGAGCTGTGCCTGTCAAGGCGAAGGCACAGGCTGCAAGTGTCACAGGTTGTCAACGTGCTTGGCACCTTGCCTAACAACAGGATTCTTTGTGCAACTCTTTCTCAAGACTGTGGAGATTTTGATACGATCATGCAAAGAATCTGAGCGGTCTGCCAAATCAGCCTCTAGTTTTCTTATCTCCCTAGGCCCTAGCACATCAACTGGAGGTAGATGAAAAGAAGGTCTCCATGCGGCTTGCTGGTGCGGGTCCTGTCCAGCGATTCCTGAGTCGTGATCAAGGAAAGCATGTGTTCCCACTGTCCTGCGCTTGTCGCAGTGGGCGGTTCATGATGGATCCAGCACTGCTGGAACGCGCGGCAGAGTTGGGCAATGCTGAGGCCGGGCGAGCTCTTTTTTCCTTCGGTGTTGGTGTCATGTGAGCTTGCGAATGCTTGCGAAACAAGACGGCAACCTACCTCAGAATGAAACACGACCAGCAAATTGCCGTTTCGGTGTCCATCATTCTCCTATACCTTCTGCTTGGCGCAGTCGCGCCGGTTGGGCTTCCACAGGCACAGTATGCCCTTGGTGCTGCCCTGCTCACGGGCCACGGAAGGCCAAAGGACCCAGCAGTGTGGTGGAAGGCCAAAGTCCTTGGGAGGTGCTGACTGATTGGTCATATATTTTATATATATACGATTTTTGATATTTGCTGCCATACCACAGCTTTTTTTCATGGTCCATACCAGTGAGGAGTGCGTTCCGTTTCGGAACTGTATGATATGTACCACTTCGGTGACCGAAGAACGAACGTCGAACCAACCTCCGGGTGCGGAGCATCGGAGCGACGCGGAGCGCCGCACGAGCTCCTCCAGGACCTCTCTCGTGCTGTGGAGCTCTGCCGCCTCGCAGCCAAGCAAAACCATGCGGCGGCCCAGTGCAACTTGGGCGTCCTCTACGCCCAGGCCGGCGGGAAATGGCGTGTGTGGCCTGCAAAAACGAGAGCGAGCAAACAAAAAGGACGTTGTTCTGAAGGGCTTGGCCCGGCATTTTAAGGATTTTTAGATGGGCCCAGACCCTAGGCCCTAGATCATGAATCTGGGCCACCCAAAAAGAAACAACTGCACGATATCTAGGAAGGGCCTAAAGGATGTTTTATGTCCCATCGGAGCTTTTGATTTTCACCCTGCAGGACCACCACAGCATGTTTTTCATGTTTTGCCCCTGAGAGCGATCGTGCTGCTGGGTTTCTCTCCGGCGACGGTTCGTGACCCGTTTCATTGGTTGATCGGGATAAAAGATAGCAGATAGCCGGCATGAAGATGAATTCAATCAGCCAAATGGAAAAACACCTGTCTGCAAAATCCTGTGGGTTGCCAGGAATACAACTATCAAATGATCATCTATCCCATGTTGCTACAATCATCCAATTGAGAAGAATATGGGATGGTTTAACACCCAACCAGACAATGCATTTCTGTGCATGAGATCTATTCAGCGGTTTCGTTTGCTGATTCATCAGCAACCGATTCAGCCTCTATTGACGCTGACACAACCTTCAGCCGCAGGGGCTTGGTGTCGAACAAGACTACGAGAGGGCCAGGAGCTTCTATGATTCTTGGTTCGACCATCGGCCCTTGATGCCGATCGACAGGGATCCTTCCAGGGATGGCCTTCCTTCCAGGTGACCCTGCCCTAGGCTTGTTACCAAATTCGCAGCGTGGGAGGCGCAAGATGATATTGAGTAGTAAGTAGTTGGCTGCATCAGGTGACCTCCACTGAATCTCACCGCCCACCGTGAGTTGATGGGGTTTTCCAAAGCTTTTCCACCCTTGCCCGGCTGGGCCAAGGAGAGTTGTATTGGTGTCGATTTCCCAGCAACGGGGAGAAGGGGAAGGCACATTCTTTGTGGCTCACAAGATTTGACCCACCAACTTCACGATCCAAGTTTGCTCTGTCCCATCACCCAACCTCCATTTTGTCCCATCACCTCGTGGCGGGAAGTCAGCGGGAGTGGTGCGTGAAAAAACATGTCAACTTGGCAGTGTGTTTTCGTCGGTGGCTTCCGATGGTGCAACATGGCTGCTGGGGCGATTTGCTTGGCTTTCACAGGCACATCCTAGAGTCATTTCGCAGGAAAACAAAAGACACAAAGAGAAACTTTTGGCCCAAGATGCAAATTCTACTCATATTGTTCTCCCGCTTGTGGCAATGTCTTCTGCAGGATTTATTCATTCAGTCCTTCTGGGAAGTGATGGGAGCGCTGTTACTTGCGGAAGCAAACATTTTTGGACAATGCAACATTCCACCTGTGAAAGAGGGAATGTGCTACACTCAAGTTTCTGCAGGAGGTGGTCATTCAGTGCTTCTGCGAAGTGATGGGAACGCTGTTGCTTGCGGGATGAACG